TGTGTGTGTCTGTGGGGGGTAAAAATTGCACAATACTTAATACAATCATTTTAGTAAAACTATTAAATTAACTTCAATCATATCTTGTTTTTTTTGTTAGACTTAAAACACCCTGTGGTGATGCACAGAGGCAAGACTGCACAAAAAGCATATTTCTGGAGCTGGAGCTGAATATACTTTGTGGTAAAAGGAATTACCACAAGAACACACCCACGCACACACACAGGCTGCACAGTTGTGACCTTAGTCACAGAGAAGCAGAATGAAAAAGGAGAAGGAGGATGTCCCATATTAGGACATTTTTCATGCCAGTGGTGAGGCATCGTTTCCATATTTAGAGGAATTTATTTTTGCTTATCTGTGTCATAATTTTAAATCGATGTTGCGTGACATTTTTGTTTTTAGTCAGTCTCTGCAAAATAGTCAAAAACACCATGAAAACAGTCACTTCAAAACACAGGTGTATGCTAATCACAGAAAACACACTGACGCTCTGAATCCCACACAACTTGTTTGAAAGCAAAATGAAATACAAACAAAACATCATTGCATTTTATTCCACTATGTTAATACTATAAATAAAAACATTTGCTGCACAAATCAACACACAAAAGCTCATCAGCGTTTTGCCCCCCAGGTCAAATGTCTGAGGGGAGGAGTACCAGAACCCCAGAATGTTGTGCTAAAATATTAACTATTAACTATTAACTACTGGGCTATTTCTAGTGTATTGATATGTGAGCTGTCCTTCACGGGTGGCCCTGTTTCCAGGACATGCTGATGTGCTTTGTCTTATATATTTTTGATGTGCTATATATATAATTATATATCTATATTTTAACTAAAAAGAAAAGCTGAAAAAATGCAAATAATGTCAGGAATACAAAACAAACAAAATAATGAGATATACAAGAAAAAGAAGCTAAAAGGAAGATGGAGGTATGTGTTCACTGTGAGATTTGTTGCAATGCAGGGTTTTTAATAAATAAATAAATAAAAATAAATAAATAAATAAAAATAATAATTTTATCTGGTGATTGATCATTTGCATCAAGAAACAAACAAACAACAGAACTTTTGTCCAACTATAAAATACAACCTTCTTTTCATGTGTTATACCAAGTATTGTGCAAAAATCTTGAGCCACCGGTTGTTTCTTCATATTTTATTCCCAAGAAGCCAGACTTTCTTATCATTTTTTTTTACAGTGCTCAGTAGTTGATGTTGGTCTTTCAAAGTTATTTGCTGGAGATTGGAGATTTTAAATAACATTTAGGTACATTGTTTCTAGCAGGTTGTCAGAAAAATACATACTTTGCCCATTTCTTTATCTGAATCTATAAAAAATGCCAAAGATATCACAGTTCAACAGACATAAAACAGCATTTTTGCACCAATAAAGTCATAAAGAGCTATTAGCTGAATCTTTGGCATACCTCAGCGTGGTGTGCAGTGTGTCTCAGTTATGTGCAGTAAGTGAAGGCGATGATCTTAAGAAATAAAGAAAACACACTGCCAGTTCAGTAGTGTTTTCATGGATGGGCTTAACCAGAGCCTGGGCCTCTACGTTAATGAAGCAGAAAAGATCATCGTTACAGAAAACAGAACAAAAGGCAGAGACAAAGAAAGACCTCTGAATGTCCTTCAGAAGAACCCTGGAGAACTACTGCTGAAGATAGTTAAAGAAATTACAAAAGTTCGGACTCTTGAATTTTATGTTTGCTATAATTGTACAAACTCTATTTTTGCATGACAGACTTTATTTCCAGGTCTGTTTACGTGGAAATAAAGTCTTGAACGATATATAATATATCGTTAACTTTTGCTCCTACAATCTAAACACATCTGGTACCTGCGCTGCTATTTCCGGAGTGGGCGGGGGGAAGCCTGCGCGTAGGCCGATTCCATGTTACCATAGTAACAACATAGTCGCAGCTCATCTGTTGGTTGTCCGCAGGAGCTGTGGAAAAACTGCGATAAAGTGGTTGCTGGGCCATTTCTAAGCGCCGCGGAGCTGCAGGAAGCATCTCAGGACCGGGCAGGTAACATGAAGCTGTAATGGTGGATCGTATTCCACCAGATAGCGTTTGAGGTCATGCTTTCACAGCGCAGAAGATAACGTTAGCGGTCAGAGCCACTAATTGTGATCAAGCCTGCAGCAGAGTGCGTTACTATTGGAGTAAGACTTCCGCTTTATTTTCAAAATAAAACTACGTTCAATTCAATTTTATTTATATAGCGCCAAATCACAACAACAGTCGCCCCAAGGCGCTTTATATTGTACAGTATATCCTATAATAATAGATACAGAGAAAAATCCAACAATCATATGACCCATATGATAAAATTTTCTCATATTACTGTGAAATCAGAAATTGCGTCAAGCTGTAAATTAAAAAATATAAGTGCGTGAATGCTGATTTTTTTTATGTGTGCTGGTTAAAGTGGTTAACAGTTAAGGGTCTTTAAATACTTAAAAAGAAATAATTAAGCTTTAGTAAGTGTTTCAATGTGAA